TAAATTTCCTTCCTCAGCTTGCACACTTTTCCTACTATATAGCAGCTAGAAGGAAACCTAAGTCAATCACAGCTCTAATACCATGTGATTGACCACAAAAAGGAACTAAAAAATAGCATAGAAAATTAAGGAAAAATATCTGAGAACTTGTAATCTGTGTTTAGAAGAAAGAAGAGTTGAAAAGGGAAGGAAAAGTGGGAACAATAGGGCTGTGGCAGTTAGAGAATTCTGTTTCTCAATCAATCTCTAACAGCTGCTCTTTACTTTATTATAAATATAATGGTGGAAATTACAAGTGTACCATCACTTAAGTAATAACTAATGAGGCATACAAACATAAAAAAAAAGAAGAAAAAGACGAATCTATCATGCCACTTTATTGGTTAATAAAAACAAACTAAAACATAGCTTCCAACAATGCCCATCTTTTTATGTCTATCTATCATGCCACCTAATCGGTTAATAAAAGATGAGTTAATCAATTTCCTTTTATTATTTAGAGGGGATGACATTGTAATTTAGCTTTGATTTGAATACATAATATATAAAGAGATCTGGATGATCAGAAGACTAATTTTTCTAATGTCCAAAGTTCCAAACCGGGAACAAAACCGGAGAAGGGAGAGGTTCAACTGGGGTCAAACTATTATGATGTGGCATATGCATATATATACTACGGGTCATATAAATACTATATATAATATATTTTACAACTTTTCATATATTTAAATATGGTGGATGGATGGAAAGATCCTTAATTTTTAAAGCAAATTACTAGGGTTCAAGTCTCTTAATTTACATTTTCTTTAAAATACATGTGTAATAAACTAATATGTACAATAAAGAGTCATTAATTAACACAAGTAATGAGGTGGATTAGTGGTAATTAAGCAAGGATTTTTGGCTCTGACAACCCCTAATATTTGTGAAAAGGCCAACTTTGACCTTAAAGAATTTAAAGGGCCATTTTAGACCTCAACCTAATTGAAAAGGCCACCATTAGCCCAAAAACACACAGTGTTAGTGACATTGTTCACAATTCGTTAAATAATGAATAAAATAAAAAAAAAATGTTGATGTGGTTGCCATTGATATCATTGAATTGTTGGTTTTGGAAGATGTCAAATTCGATACTCAGTACGTGGTTCTCGGGGCTGTTGTTGTTGGTGTAGTTAAAGAGGCCCATATTTTGAGCAGAGTCAGTGCCATTGATTCCAACAGTGGGAGCAAAGATGAAGATAAGGCTGTGACCAGAGAGTTGGCCCTCGCTGGGGGCGATAAAGAGGATGAAAGAGGTGTAGAATGGAAGGAACGTGAAGGAGTTGAGAGGTCTAGTTGGAACCTTTGTGAGGTAAAGGGTGCGACCAACAAAGAAAATAGAGTTGTTTGTAAGGATGAGAACACGAGACTTGAGCGAGGCAATGTCGTAAAACAAGAGATCGGAGGAATTAAAGCCGTTGAAGACCAAATCCACAACATATGTTGATCAAAAGAACAAGGTTTTGGTTAGTAGTAGTAGGAATAGGAGCTGCCAATAGATAGGTTGTGCCATTTCAGGCAAGAGGAGTATCGGATGGTAATTACTAATTAATGGGAGAAAGGTTGTGTTCGAATGGTTTTCACTCTTCAGAACTTATCTAAGATTTAAAGGGTTAAGGAAACTTCTTATTCATTAACCAAAGGAGGGACCATCTAAGAATTTTTATCCACATACCCAGAAAACTTTGGTTCTCATGTTTGACAATGGATTGGACAAAGAATATGAGATTAATTAATTTCCTTGACAACTTTTTTATTGGGTTGAATGTAAAAGATTGATGAATTAGTTCTCTTTCTCTGTAAAAGACTGATGACAAATTGTTCAATCTATGAATAGTCTAAGCTCTAAATAGTCTAAGCTCAGAAGAAGAAGAAGAAGAGGAGGAGGAGGAGAGAGAGAGAGAGAGGGAACCCACTTGTAATTTTTCTTTTAAAAGAGGAATTTTCAAGTGGGACCCACCTATATATTATTTCCAACCTTTATTAATTTATAACCAAGTAGTTTTTACTTTATTCAGTGGGACCCACTTGTAACTTTTCAATTTTTTGAGTTGAATAGTGCCATGTCAGCATTTCTTATTACTTTATTCATTATTTAATGGATTGTGAATGGCATCACTAACACCGTGTGCTTTGGACTAATGGTGACCTTTTCTATTTAGTTTGAGGTCTAAAATGGCCCTCTAAATTCTTTAAGGTCAAAGTTGGCCCTTTCACAAAGTTCAGGGGTTGTCAGAGCCAAAAATCCTTGCTTAATTACCATTAATCAACCCCATTACTTGTGTTAATTAATGACTCTTTATTGTACATATTACTTTATTAAACACGTACTTTAAAAAAATGTAAATTAAGAGACTTGAACCCTAGTAATTTGCTTTAAAAATTAAGGAACTTTCCATCCATCCACCATATTTAAATATATCAAAAATTGTAAAATATATTATATATAGTATTTATATGAATCGTAGTATATATATGCATATGCCACATCATCACAGTTCAACCCTGGTTGAACCTCTCCCTTCTTTGGTTTTGTGCCCGGTCTGGTTCTTTGAACATTGGAAAAAATTTGTCTTCTGATCATCCAGATCTCTTTATATATTATGTATTCATATCAAAGCTAAATTACAATGCCATCCCCTCCAAATAGTAAAAGTAAATTGGTTAACTCTTCTTGTGTGTGTCAGTGTATATCTATGTTATATAACCAGCCAGTTAGCTGGTTTTCATTGGGATTTTAGCAAATATTGTTATTGGGGTGTAACCGGCCAAGGTCCCAGGTCACGATTCAACAAGTTCAACCAGCTGGTCCAGTCAGGTTTCCTAGACTAACTTTTTTCTCCCATCTAGCAGCTACCCTTCTTTTCTCCCCAACGTTATTGTTGTCCTCTCTCATCTTTCCTCTACTTCAATAGTAATAGTAATAATCAAATATTTACAATTTAAAAGTGGATTAAATACAAGTCAAATAGAACCTACCTTATTAGTAGGGTTGTAATCAGATTGGATTCAAATTCCAATTATTGTATTTTCAAATCCAAATCTGAACTCAATCCAAGTCTAACTCCACTCTATTATCATTAAAGTAAAGGGAAAGATAACAAATCAATTTTTTTTGACATATACACATATAAAAAATGCATATAAATATAGAATATTATATATAATATCTATATATATGCATTATTATATTACATATAATCGGACTCAGATTTTTATCAGATTGGATGGGCTCAAACCCGCAATTGATCCAACTACTAAACGGGTGCAGGTTTTAACATCCAAGTCCAAGTAACAGGATTGCATATTGGATCAAGTATTGGATTTTTGAAGTCTGTTGGCAACCCTACTTATTAGGAGAATTGAATAAATGATGTCCAAAGAATGCAAAGTTATTTCAAGAGAAGCCTTGACTACATAATAACTATGGAAGAAAATGTGTGCCTAAGAATTAGATAGGTAATTTTAAAAGGGAAAAAAACTAGCACAGTTTAAAGATAAAGTAATAGTAGAAAGAAATGGAATTTAGATGAAAATATTAATATCTGGTTTGAAAAGCCAAATATTAAAAAAAAAAGAGAGAAATAAAAAAGAAGTGGCAAAAGAGGTTTTAGGGGAATCTAAAGGAATACAGCAAACCACTAAAGAAACTTGGTAGTGGAATGAAGAGGTTCAAACTATAATTAAAAACAAAATGGGCATGTTATAAAGATGAGAAAAATACTACAAATGCAAAAAAAAAACTTGGAAAATATTGAAAAAAAACACATAAAAGAAAGCTAAGTAAAGCATGTGAACCTGAATTTAAGGCATGTAATGAACTCCATAGCCCATACTAGAGAGGGAGAAAATGGAATTTATAAACTTGCAAAGATGAGAGGAAGAAAAAGTAGAGATTTAAACCTTACTAGATGCATAAAAGAGGAAGATGAAGAGTCATAATAAAATAAAAGGAAATCAAGGAAAGATGGAGAAGCTATTTAAAAAAAAAATGCTAAATCTCAAACAAGATAGAGAAGAAAAATAGGTGCCAAGGGGGGATGGGTAATAACTCTAATATTACTACAAATGATAAGTACCTTTTATGAAATTGAGTTTCTAATGTAAAAGAGGTTTCAAACAAGATAGAGAAGAAAAAGGCATTAGAACCTTATGGTATCCTAATAAAAGTTTGGAAAAGGCATGGAAGAGGTTGGCTTGTTATGGCTAACTAAACTATTTAATAAGAAAATGAAAACAAAGAAGATGCCAAACAAAAAGAGAAATATCACTATGGTGTTTATATTCTAAAAACAGAGGCCATGCAAAAGTTACAATAATTACCATGGGGATTAAACTCATGGACCACATTATGAAACTTTGGGAGAGAGTAATTGAGAAAATGTTATGACTGAAGAAGGTATATCGGAAAGTATAGTAAGACGGATTTGTCACATGCAAAGAAAACCATGTACAGCACCTTTAAGAAGAAAACACTTGTTACAAGTTGAAAGGGATAGAAGAAATTGCCAAAAGGGCATGGAGTGAGAAATGATTGAAGGGCCCATAATTTAACAATGGATAGCACTTCCTATAAAGAAATGGCCGAGCATGATTCATGTAGCCGTCCCATATAGTTGGGAGTGGGGACAAGGCGATGATGATGATTTTCCGCTTGCATCTTCAATTATATTATAGCATTTGAAAGGAAAAATGAAAAAAGTAAAGAAAGAAAAGGAGACCGAATTAATTTAAGCAGCCTTCACGTGTGCCCATATGGAAAACAATTGCATGCTAAGGAAATTTTTCCTTCTCTTACAGAAGCTATATCTACCAAAAGTAAATCTACCAGAACAAGTAACGACAAAATCTGTCTAATGAATTCCAACAAGTTAAATAGAAGGGGTTGAAGAACACATAATGATCAAATCAATATCTAATGAATACAAACAAGTTAAATAAGGGGATGAAGACTAACATACCCAATCTGTAAACTCGTCAAAGGGAAGAAAAATCGGCCGTTTTCAGCTGTCCTCGTCCACATTATCAAGTGCTGCCTAAAGCAGGAACTATCACCGACAAAACCCAAAATTTCTGCAAAAAAATTAGATCAGGAACGCTATGTATTCGAGAATTCTCTCAAATTACAGAAAAAGAAAGCAAGAAGAACAAGAAAAACAAAAGAAACTGGGATAACAGCAAGAGGGGGGGAAAAGAAAGAAAAAACAGTTGGAACCTGGAAGCGATCAAGAGAGTTCCGTGGAAGTGGTGAAATAACAAACAAAGGAGGAGAGACGAAACAATCACAAGCGAACTTCATAACAAATCTGCTGCGCCCAGGAACGTGAAAGGCCGTGATCAGAAGACGGCAGAGAGCACACGGACAAGCAGAAGAGACACGGCACCAAAAACAACGAAACTAGAAATGAAAATGCGCAAAAGAGTCAACTATGAAGGAACTCCTGCTCCAAACCTCCAATGAGAAGAATAAGCCAGAAACTTCTCTTCCTCCTATTCTCTCTATCTCTATCTCAGCATTTTCGGAAGGAGTCTCCTTTGGCTTGTAAGGCGTATGGAGAAGAAGCCTCTGATTAAGGAGACGTCGAAGGGGCAACATCATTTAATTGGAGTTTATATAGTAGTAGCACGAGAAAATCTATATAGTTTCTCCTTTTTTTTTAATGCTTTATTTGTTTTAACACAAGTAATGAGATACACTTTTCAAATAATCAAATTAATTTTTTTATCTAAAATTTTTCCTAAATTATCTCTCCCGTTATTTCTCACTTTCTTCAAAATTATCTCTAATTTCTATTTATCTTTTAAATTATCTCTAATTCCTATTTATCTCCAAAATTATTTCTAATTTAGTAGAGAGTTTCTCTCCTAAATTATCTCTAATTCTTATTTATTCTCTCCCCTAATTTTTATCTATATATACCTAAATAAAGTTTGGATTAAAAAATTTAAGAATTATTTAAATATTCTAACAAAATTATATAATAACTTCAAAATATTTATAAAAAACACAAAAAATAATTTTACATTTTTACAAAATATATCATGAAATTATGTACTAACAATTTAAATTATGTTTTCAGATTATGATCAATTTAAATATTTTTCAAATATTTAATAATATGTAATAGTTTTAAATAAATAAAATTCAAATAACAAAAAGAATTAATATTTCATAAATTATTTAAATATTTAAATAACTAAATATTTATCATAACTAGATTTTAAATATTTAAAATAATGAAATTATGTAATAAATTTTAAACATTTCTTCAAAGTACAAAAATAATTATAATATAATATTGAAAATAATTAATATTTTAAGACTTAAATATTTTACATATTATATAAGTATTTAAATAACAAAACATTTTAACATAACTAGGTTTTAAATAGTTAAAATAAAGAAATTATGAAATAAATTTAAAAAAAAATTAAAATGTAGAAAAATAATTATAACATAATATTGAAATTAATAATAATTTAATATTTATAAATAATATTGTAAATAATTAATTTCACTTATATCAAGTAATAATTCGAGAAAAATAACTTTCAAAAAATTAATATTAATTAATAATAATTTTAAACTCTTAATCTGTATTTATTATATAATTATATATACTAAAATTAATATTTATTGTATTTTAGTAATTATTTATTGTTTTTTGTGATAAATGTATTTTCAATGATTATGTATAAATTTATTTTGTTTTGTTATTTAACAAAAAACTTTCAATAATTATTAGAGATTAAATTACTATTAATGAAATTTTTAAAATTTTTTTATTGCACTTTTTGTATTTATTGTATTTTTGTTATAAGTTATTGATTAATATTTATTAGAGATTAAACAATTATTTGAGATTATACTATTTATTGACTAAGTTAATATATTTTTAGTACTTATTGTATTTTTGTAATTTCTGTAATTATTGTATTTTTCATTATCAATATATTTTCAATAATTGTGTATTTTCACTATAAATTTTTCAATAATTATTGGAGATTAAACTATTGTTATTTATTAGAGATGAGACTATAATTTAGCTGAAATTATGAGTGTTCATGAGTTGGTTCAATTCGGTAGTAGGCTATTTGGCCAACCAAATTGACCTGGTCAAGTTAGGGAGTTGGTCAGATAAAACCGACTAACTTTTTGTGAAAACCGACTCACTCAAGTTGTATCGTTTAGGTCGGATTTTTGGTTTGGTCAGTCGGTTCAAAAGATTTAAACTTTAAAATTTAATTTAATTTTAAAAATTAYAGTGCAATTATTAAAACTTATATTTAATATTTAGGTCGTTCAATTTTGGTCAGTTTACAAATGGCTAAAGTGAAATTGATCCAACTTGGCCAAATTGGGAAGTTTTTGAACCAAATTCAACCTAATATACTAGAAAATTGACCAACTCGGGTTGAGTTAATCGGGTTGGTCGGTTTCATCAATTTGATGAATGAACATAACTGAAGTTAATTATTGTTATTTTTGTATTATAAAAATTTTATTAAAAGTAGTATATAAAATATGAATAATTTTTAATTATTTAAAAAAGTTGAAAATATAAAACATTTGTATACTCTTATGTGTTTCTATTAGGGTCATTTACTAGAATACACCTTTAGGGATGGAAATTTTCCCCATCCCCGACGGGGACCCGATTTCCCCGACCTAATGGGGCTGGGGATGGGGACGAGGAATCATAGGAATCCCCGATCGGGGTCGGGGTCGGGATTGGGGATGAGGATTGAGGTCTCCACCTTGCCCTGACCCCGATTATATATATTAAATATTATTTATATTAAATGTACTATTATATTATTTATATTATATATATATCAAAATATATTTAAAACATTATTTATAATTAAAAATTTTTATTTATTTTAAAAAATACTATTATCTAAAAACATTTTGGGGATTCGGGTCCCCACGGGAAACCCATCCCCTTCAGGGATCAGGGATGGGGGTTAATTTTAGAATCAGGGTCGGGGACGGGGAATATGATCCTAGCCCCGAACTCGCCCCGTAGACATTCCTACACACCTTATAGTTTTCATTTTACTAAAATTATCCCATATATTTTGCAACTTATTTACTTAATCAACATTTCATTAAAGAGTGTTTGTTTGGTCATTAGGCTCATGATTTTTCATTCCAAAAATACCCTTAAAACTTTTTTTGTATAGAAAACAAAATTGACCAAATATAGCCAATGGACTGGTTGTCTATGTATTATTAAGGGCAAAATGGTATATTTATTTTTATTTTCTTTTGATTAAATTTATTTAAATGAACATTAGGATCAACACTATCATTTTCCACTATCATCTAATGGAAGATTGATTAAATCTATTACAAATTATAAGTGATGTTTTAGTAAATTGCTAACTATATGGTAGATTTTAGTAAATCCGTGAAACTATAAGGGGTATTTTAATAAATAACTCTTTCTATTATTTAGCTTTGACTTAATAAATCCGATGCATTGCGCGGGTCCCTGCTAATGGGCAAATAAAAGAAGCCTCACAATTAAAACCACAATTTTTGCAAGGTAAGGAACTGAGAATCCTCCGATTTGACACTTCCCGCCACTATCGTCTCATTGTCTTTTGAGCCTGAGGTTTGCCGCTCTCTAATCTCTATGGCAAAACAATCAGATTATCAGGAAGACAGGACTACGTAGTTCACGATTTCAAATGCGACTGAGTCGGGATCCTCTGCGGTTGCGACCTATGCGACACACGTTGTTATTTGTTCGGTAGGATTTGGACACCTAGACGGCTAGACCAGACACAGATGAAACTTTAAGAATATCTCTCTACAGTACAGTTAATGCATACAACTAACAATTGTTTGGAACTGTCTCCAGTCCTCTTATCTAGTGGGACCACATTACTTGGGTGTTGGTGTTTCACTCTCAATCCATTGCAATTCTACAAAGTGTTAGACAATTATGCCCTTAGCTCCAATCAGATTAATGTATCTTTTGACATTTATTGTAAATGAATAAAGTACATAATTGATTCATGTCATTGTGGTGTGTTTCTGTGTAATACCCTTAAACTGGACACTTATGAGACTCGTGTTAGTTTAGAATCTTCACAGTCATTAGATAGATCTGAGGAGATTTATCCTGCTAAGGCTGACACTGATGTACCACCAAGTTGGTTGGG